GGGGGTGCTGAACACGACTGCGTAGACAGACTGATGAGCTGGGCAAACAGCGCATCACCCTCAAAACCAACTGTGTTAAGGGGCGACGTCGCATAAAGCAATCGAGAGGGCGATGTCCTGTGCACGAATGCATAAACAGATCACAGAAACAGCTGAAACCTCTCAAACATAATGGGACAGGAGGAAAACCACAGGCAGGGAGGAAAAATGGGAAACAATTTCAACAATAATATCCGGAGTACTGAGATAGTTGGCTTGGCTTGCCCCACCAGGCTGATCTTCGCAGGAATACGAGTCTTGACATCCCTCACTAGGGGTCAAAAAATAATAATAATAATAATAACATGCAGAGTTCCAAAGACTACCCTCTTCACCCAAACAGAGCACCCGGTCATTATCGCTGCATCTGGACTGAAAGTTAGGCCAAATGCAGCTATAATGACCGGGCGACGGGCGTTCTATTCGGGTGAAGACGGTAGGTGGTGAAAGCAAAAAGGTGGCCTGCACACCTTTGTAGTATGTACTTGTCTATATTATCTTTCTTGCTTTTCTACCTTTGTCTGTTCATCCTTGCCCATGATAAGTAACTGTACCAGCGCCCCCCCCGCGCCGAATAGAAAGGCCAATTACGTGTGTGTTTTGGGGGCAAAGAAAAAGAAAAGGTGATGAATGGGGTTGCAAAGGTGAAAAGGGAGATGCTGAGGTGAGTATAGCTCTCAAACAGCTGAGGAGAGAATTTGAACCTTGAACACAATGCCTACCCCCCCTTTTCTAAAATTCTTGGCCCACCCCCTTTTGAGCGTTCTGGACACTTGTCGTACCTCCGATCAGGCGTGAGGTTAGCCCGTCACATTCGCCTTTGATTACTCATATGGATGTGCCTGAGGGTAAACGATGGCAGGAGTTTTGGCAGGACAAGTGCATGACGAGCAGTTCCACTACACGGGGGAGGGAAAGAATTGAAATACGAACAAACAAACAAACAAACAAACACTGAGGCCCACTCCTACTCCCACACAGAGCAACACAGCAATGGGCTTGGAAGACTCTGTGTCGCCAATGTGAGCGAGCGCGTGCGCGCAAGAGAGAGAGAGAGAGAGAGAGAGAGAGAGAGAGAGAGAGAGAGAGAGAGAGAGAGAGAGAGAGAGAGAGAGAGAGAGAGAGNGTGTATCTCGTGATGCAAGTCTGCTGTGGTTCGAGGTCAATACTATCTGGGCTCATATGTATGAAGCTGTTTGATTGCTGAAGTTCGCTAATGCTTATCTTCCTTGCAAAATGGAGGAACAAAAAAAAAAAAAAAACCGAACACACTGAACGGACGGCCTAGTCACACTGCTAACAGTGGTTTACAAAATAATATCTATTGAAATGTGAAACTCCTAGCAAAGCTGCTCCTTCGTTAGAAAGTTAAAAATAAAAATAAAAATTGGACCATTTCTTGATTTATGCGTGCCATCCTTGCGCAAGGGCCATGCTAATCTTCTCTGTATCGTTCCAATTTTAACGGATGTCCCGGAGGACTACATAGCGAACCTGCTCCTATTGAAATCTGGTTTCACAGGGAATAATCAGGGTTGATTCAGTTGCGGGACATCCACGACGATATCCTGCTAGTAGTCGATGGATTGCGGCGAATCCCCAGACAAGGAGGAAAGGGGGAAGAATCTGAAGAAGCGATCATCTTGATTGACTTTGAGGAAGCATATGATCACACGGAATGGCTGTTTCTTGCTAAGCGCTGTCTGTCCCTCCGTCTGTCCGTCCATCTTTTTTCTGCATGTCTGTCTGTCTGCCTGACAGGTGGCATCTTTCCGTTCGTTTGTTTGTTTGCTTTCTTGCTGGCTTGCTTGCTTGTTTGCACACTTTTCCTTTTTGTGCAGTGGTTTGGCCCCTACCGTCTTCACCCGAATAGAACGCCCGGTAATTATCGCCGTATCTGGGCGGAAAGTTGTGCCAAATACAGCTATAATGACCGGGCATTATATTCGGGTGAAGACGGTAGCATCGTGGTATCCATCAGAATGACAGAATTGCAATTCATTGAATTTTCATTCCCTTTTTTTACGAACAGGTACATGCCAGTAAGCCACCAGGCAGGTAACCTGAACTACCGTCTTCACACGAATAGAACGCCCGGTCATTACAGCTGCATTTGCCCCAACTTTCAGTCCAGATGCAGCGATAATGACCGGGCGTTCTATTCGGGTGAAGACGGTAGGCTGAGTCTTTGTGAGTTGTCGGCTGTGAGTTAGGTGTAGGTAGAGTAGGAGGTCTCCCCCGGTTCATGCAGTGCGTGGCCACATTTCACTGTACATTTGCTGCCCTTCTACCTCAGCATGGGAACGAGGACCTTACCTCTCGCCAGAGAACACTGACTTCGAGGTAGTTTGCCAGATCCACCGATGTTAATCTCCGGCTTCTCTGTCTTGCAATATCGAATGCAGATCGTGCAATTCGCTCAACCTGCTTCCCTGTGTACTCTGCCGTGCCGAATGCCCGCACATCACCATTCGGGAGCTCTCCCCTTCCCTACATCCATCCGAACCAGTAACCGTTCTCGTCATCAGCATACTTGTTTCAAAAAGCAGGAAAAGAAAAACACTCCTATGTTCACACGAGTCCAGGGCGATCCTACGTAAGTAACGTAACATAACAGGCAGAGGAAGATTAAAAAAAAAAACTTGAAAAACCGAAACAGTCGCTCAAGCCCAATACATTGGAAAATTTACTAATTTAGTAAAATTTAGAAATACTGAAACAGAACCTGGGGTATCAAGGGGGTATCCACAGTCCTAGCTCAGTTGGTACACCAATGAACTGTTGAAATACACTCAGTTGGTACACCAATGAACTGTTGAAACTTGAAATACAGACCCAAGTTAGTTCGAATCCACACACAATCAGATGAGCAGAACTCTGGAATACAAGTATGTTCAATCGTTCAAAAAAAGAACCTGAGGTACCTGAGGGTCCTGAGCTCAGCATTATTATTGATTTATTACCCATGCATCTAGCTCAATTTGTAGTTTAATCTTTAAAGTTTAAAGGGACACCTATGTGCTGGGAAGGATTGCAGACACAACGATAGAGGCCTAACCAGACTGCTGTCTCTTATACACATCTAGATGTGTATAAGAGACAGGAGGAATAGTTTTTTTTCGTTGTTGTTGTTTTTTCGGGACCTTCCCTGGTCCTTCTGGTCCTTGCACGGCTGGGCCGCCCAGGAAAATAAGATGACCTGGGCGTCCCGGCTGGTAGCCTAGGTCAGCTCTCATATACGTCAAAATATTGTCTATAAAAGAGTTTTGAGGTGTCAGGGAGATTACCCAGGGAGGAAGTCCAGCAGGGCACTTCGCGCGCCGGGTTCCGCCCCCTGTCGGCACAGCGGGCCCACCCACTCACTGGGGTCCACTCAAGATGGATATTGTCAATCAACTGGGCAAGCAAGACGCTGGGATGGTGGATCCATCACCAAGGAGTAGGCCCCCTGAACTCCTTCCTATTAGCAAATGACTCCCCCCCCGCTGAATGAATCAAAACTCAGTTCTTGGGGGTCAAACTTATGCTAACCGGAAAGCCTCCACAGGACGATCACTGGTGCCTCCAACCAGTTGAAGAAAATCCAAACTGGAGGTGCTGCAAATACACGTCAATTTTCGGGAACTCGACCCTTGGGGCCTGATGGGTACCGGTGGGTATTATGCCCCCCCTCCGAAAGATCAGTGTCCCCCTTGAAGTAGCACATTGCAGCAGCACATCTTTAGAGGAACAAAGCAAAGGATGACAGGACAATCGGGAGGGTGGCGCGGGATTCGGCTACGCAACCATGACAGGAGGACTAGCAAAACTGGACCCGGGCACTCAACAAGAGGTACCTTCCCTCAAAAAATGGATCCACAAATTGATCTTTGACAATTAAGTGGGGTCTGGGCACTTCTCACAGTAGAAAAGCAGCTTAAGAGAGATTGGATCCAGAGATCCCTGATGCAATAGAAACTCTCACATGGTTGGAGGATCCATACTGGGCCATACCAAAGGCGTCCCCAAAGGCAACCAGGTACACTCAAAGAAGCAGAGGGAGGGGAGATTTGCAAAACAATCACCTCTTGCTGGCTCTCCCTCCTTCATACATGGAGGAAATTACTGCTCCCAGAATGCTACAGTCCCATGAGATGGGAGGCACTAATGTGGCAACCCCTCTTTGGGACCAAAAGGATCACAACCAGAACAGTCAAGCATTCCCAAGCCCAAGCCACCAATCACCCTGGAAAAGTCGGGTTAAAATAGGGGTATTAAGAATGAACGACACATTGCAGACGGCACAGAAGATGAAGCAGTCTATGCCGGACGACGATTTGGACCTGCCGCAGAAAATCCAAGCGAAGTTTACAAGGATCATGGCTGGTATGAGGCAAGGTAGCGGACATAAGGCCCTCCGGTATACGCTGGAAAGACTGACACAATTTCAAAAGCGGCACTTAGAAGGCAGTGCCGGTGGGCCCCAACCAGCTGACTGGCAAGATCTGCTACAGACTCCAGAAACCTCATGGTGTGTGATAGGGGAGTATAGTACTAGAGTGATATGCTTCGGCGCATCACCTCAGTCTACAGGGTCATTCGGCAGTATTAGACTACTGCCGAATGACCCTGGGGAGAGACTCTGAGGTAGGTTTTTCAACTTTTCAATTCGGAACCGCCTTCCACAAAGATGTCTGTGGCAGCTCAAACTGATAATATCAGGGGACTTCAACACAGCAGCACCACGCAGATGGCTAGACAGAATACTTGCACAAGTTGCTATGATCTGAAAATGATAAAATCAGTCGTTAGACTAAAGCCAAGAAGAATCGGTGGCAGGGTCCTTGGGGGAACATCCGTTAAAATTGGAAAGAGAAAGAGAAAGAAGAGATTAGCATGGCCCCTGCGCAAGGGATGACACGGCACATAAATCGAGGAAAAGGTTCCGAAACCAAAAAGAATCGGTGGTGGGCGAGCGGGCCGGCGATGTTAAGTAGCCCAGAGATGCAGAAGGCGACAAAGTCGTTCGTTCGTTGATTAGGTCCTTCAGTATGGCAAAAAAAAGCCTGTCTAACAAAGTCCACCAACCATGCCAATCTGGCATCCCCTGGAGACCCAGGCTCCACTACGGTAGCAGAGAACCCGCCCTCGCATACTCCAATATACGCGGGGGATTTTTATGACGAGTTTTGCAAGTCAGAAACAATTTGACTCCTTCCTATCAGAGACAGGATAAATGGTTTTGAGTTTTTCGAAATTTCAACCCATCGCCCGCCAAGCCCCTGGAAGAGGAGTCTTGTTCCCTGGAGGTCCCAATAACAGCCACAAAAAGTTCTTTTTTGAAGTTTTTTGAACTTTTTTCCCTTAAAAAAAAGGGTGACGGCCTTGAGATATCAGCACTCAACTGAGTGGCCCCAGGTTGGTAATTCAGAATGATTTCATTTTCTCTGGTCATCTGGTGGTATCACTCTGGAGTCTGGATTCCAACTCTGGTCTGGAATTCAGCAGTGTTCATAGGTGCACCAACTGAGCTAGGCCAATTGGTATAACAGCCACAAATGTACGGGACACTTTAATGAAGATATAAGAATGGTAAGGTCCTAAAAGATATTGACAAATTTCACATCCTTCCCAAGGAGTTTTTTTTTTGTGACACTTGTTGTTGGGAATTGCAAATTTGACATCCTTCCCAAGGAGTTTTTTTTTGTGACACTTGTTGTTGGGAATTGCCTGCACAGTGCATATGGACATGATGGAATCCTACATGTGGCATGAGAAGAGGAAAGGTTGGCGAAATATCGTATATGTGAGCGGGGGGGTACTCACTGCTCTCCCTTTAGAACAAAAGAAAATTGCGAGGCTACGCCCGCTTAGCCCCTACGGGGCCCTATCTGCAACAAGGTCGGCCGCCCTAAGTGAAGGCAGGCACAACAGGCCCTTCGGGCCTCATTCTTCAGGGTACCCCGCATCGGGGAAATTCAGACAGTTGCGTTGCGCCAGTTGGTTGAATGAATCCAGGCCCTGGGCCGCCTGTGTAAAAAAATGAATGTGAAGCAGGCCCTGGGCTGGATACGGGTACCAGGCCAAACACAGGCCGAAAGCAGTTGGGCGCATGCAACCACTTCAGGCCCAAGGCCTGCTCTCTTCGTGACTGGGCCTGTGCCTACCGGGGCCTACCGGAAGCTTCCTGGACTGGACCCAGGCAGGCCACTTCGATATAGGGAAGGGCCTGCCTCCTCATTGGGCATTCGGGTGCTGGCTGCATGCTGCGTGAGCGCTGCTGCGCTATCCACTGGCTGCCTGGCACTCACGCTCTCACGGGCGAGTAGGAGGGAGCACGCAGCCATAGCCAAGCTGCGCTGCTGTATGCTAGGTGAAGCGCAGGGTGGTCCTTGGGTGCTAGTGACATCTGTGCGGTGTGGATCGGGGTTGTGAGTGTTACGAGANAGAGAGAGAGAGAGAGAGAGAGAGAGAGAGAGAGAGAGACAGACAGACAGACAGACAGACAGACAGACAGAGAAAGAAGGTGGCTGATATGTCGAAGGGGCCATGCATTCCTTTGGTTTCATCTGTGTGTATACTCATCCCAAGGGAGGCATCCTTCTCTGCCTCATCCCAAGGGAGGCATCCTTCTCTGCCGTTCGCTAAGTAGTAAGATGGGGAAAGGGGGAGGGGAGCAGGAGAGGAGTCCCTGGTCTAAATGAAGGCTATGAAAGTCAAAGAGGTAAGCAAATAAAAACGGGAAGAAAAGAAAAAAAAAACGCAGAAAAAAAAATGGTCCGCGGTGTCCTTCGGGACATCCATTAAAATTGGAACGATACAGAGAAGATTAGCATGGCCCCTGTGCAAGGATGACACGCATAAATCGAGAAATGGTCCAAATTTTAAAGGGAAAAAAAAAAAAAAAAATGGTCCGCGGAGGTTGGGGTTTCAAGCAATGCTGAAAAATGTGATTGAGTGCTTCACCTGCTGGCCAGTGTATATTCCTCCTGACAGTTCTCTGACAATCATTATGTCAGTGCCTCGTACCCGTGACGGACTCAATGGGTAGTCATTTTCCATTTGAGGAAAGGCTGCTGCAGGTGATAACTGCCAGTAAAGCCCCATATCTGCTCTCAGTTTCATCAGAACTTTTGACCTCAGCGGCGTGCCCCCCTGCAAAAAAAAAAAAAAAAAAAAAAAAAAAAAACAACAACAACAACAACAACAACCAACACAGAGAGGAAATGCCAGAAACACGAAAGAAGACTCCGAGGACAGTGAGTTTTTTCTTTTCTTTTCTTTTCTTTTTTGAAGTTTTCCCCCCCGACGACAGTGGCCTAGAGCAGAGCAAGAAAGAAAAAGAGAGCAAACAGGTAAGTCAACCACAAGCTGAGTTGGTACACCCACAAGCTGTTGAAAAACAGACCTCCTGAGTTCGAACCTTATGGTTCTGGCCCATTGTCCATTCCGGGGAGCAACAGTCCGGTTCCTTTTCCACAAGCAAGTCAATGCTGAATACAATATAAGTATTATAAGGACACACACACGCTCTTCCCCATTATGGCTGGGAGGCCCGAGTGGACGGCATTGATTACTGATTACTTCCTTAGGGAAGGATGTACCACCCCTCACCCCTGCACTTAAAACAGGAAGACTGGTGGTAGACTGATGTCTGCTACATCCGCTTGTGATTCCATGCTTATCTGTGAAGGCCTTGACTCTTGACTCGCTTGCTTTGCTCCTCTCAGCTACACGGCTGTCGGATCTGCATGAGGTAATGAAGTTGCTGGCTTGGCCCATTAACTGACGGTTTTGCTGAACGCGTAAACCTTAGGGATTCTAGCCTTGAGGTTGTTTTGGAGCTTTTTTTTCTCTATGCCTGAAAATGACCATACCTTCTGGCGTCTATTCCTTAAACCCTAAACCCTGACTTCGAATCCAGATAAACGGACTTCCGGAATGGAATACCTTGGGGCCAGTCCGTTTCCCGATGATATCTCAAGGGCTGCTGTGCCCTTTATAAAGAAAGAAAGGTAAGTCACCTGTGCGCGCAGGGAAGTCCCAACTGGCACTCGCTCTAGACGTTGTCATAAGTGGCATTCCCCCTACCGTCTTCCCCCGAACATAACGCACCCTAAAAATGAATGTATACAAGCTATATTTGCGGCCAGATACAGCCAAAATACGGGTGCGTTGTGTTCGGGGGAAGACGGTAGTAAGAATATAGTACAGTATTAGTGCTCCTAAATTACTTTTTTTTTTTTTTTTTTTTTTTTTGAAGAATAGGGGCCCAGTGCCCAAGGCTGATATTATCAACAAGGAATGTTTTGAGGCCGGGGTCCTCACAGTCTACCCGGAGTAACTGAATCCGAAAGTTGCTGAGAACCGGGCTCAGCGTCCCTCATGTGTTGATGGAAATGATCATGATACTACTGGTAATGATTATGAATTTATGAAAGACTATGTCAGCTATTCTAGACTCCTGAACCTAAGATAACTCCTAGCCATCCTTGCACCRGGGTATACTTACTCAAGAACAGTACCAACCAGACCAACGTCACCCATAGCTGATCTCTTCTCGCCACTAAGTAGCCCCCCCCAGTTCACCACTGAATTGCCTTCCTCCCTCGGCAAAACCCAGATCTCTCTACAAGACCTCATACTCCTGCAAATTGCAGGTTACAGGGCGACGCCCCAGCTCCGGCCAGCGTCGTTCTGGCATCGGCAAAACAGGGGCACAGAACAGAACAGCCCTGTGGATGTCGATCCGAGTGTGACCCTCTCTGAACTCCTATACCCCGGATATAAGTAAATTTCTTTTCTTTTTTTGCTTCTTAAAGAGAATAAAAATAAGAATAGAAACAGGGAATTGCATGAGATTTTTTTTTTTTTTTTTTTGCATTAGAATTTAGATGTAGGGTGACGTGAAAATGAGAATAAAAATAAGAATAAAAACCGGAAAATGCGTAGTACAGGCCGATAACGGCAAAGAGAGATGAAATGGTTAGGAGAAGAAGATGAACATCCAGGAGAAAAAAAAAAAAGATGTCGTTAACTGAAAACACGTAAATGAGAAACGACAAGAAACAAAGTTAACAAACACAGAAATCCATGGACATTACAGGGTTGCTCATTACATGGCTGCTGCAATAGCACTCAAAGCTGCACAAGCGGGGCGGGGGGGGTAGGGAAATCAAGGTCTGCCCACTAATAAATTAGTAAATTGAACTAAATTCTAATGCGGAGCATTGGTCTTCTTCTTGGAGGGAGAGGAGCAGTGTTTTCTCCAGGGAGAGAGCATTGATAAGACCAATTGAGTGTTGCAAAAGGGGGGAGAGAGAGAGAGAGGAGAACGACGACCAGGAGCACCATAACGCGACCTCTTGGAAGTGCCTATTGGAAACTGATACGAATTTGGATTTTAACGTGCTGGTGTTTTTTAACTGTAGGAATACTAGAGAAAGAGGAGAACGACGACCAGGAGTCATCTCTGACAGACTTCGGACTTCTAACCGGGCACCTGGCCCTGGGCTATCATTATTCTACTACATTGATGAAGCTAGCTCTACAATTCATTCTTTTCAGAGTTCATGGCAGCTCATTCTCGTTTTTTTTTTTTTTAAATGGCCCTTTCTATTCTGGGGGGCGCCAGTCTGGTTGCCCCTCACCGGCAAGCAAATATATACAAACTTATACAATTGTTAATTGCGCCAGCTCATTCTCGCCACAACAAAAAAAGAAGAAGAAGAAAAAGAAAAAGAAGAGACCGTGTGACTGGATGGTAAAAGCAACAAACCATTGGCTGATGAATGAAACCCTTTAACCCTTACTCCGCTCATCACAACTGACAAATGTCCCATGAGAGATGTATGTACCCCTGCCCTCTCTCCACTCGTCATAATTAACAGATGTCTCCCCCCTCTTCCTTCCCCTCATTGCAGTTGATAGGGGTTCCCCAACCCCTTCTCGCCCCCCCTCCTCGTCACAATTGACAGATGTGCGCCCCCCCCCCCCCTCCTCCCCCTCTTCCCCTTCCCCACCCCACACCCCTCCCCTACTCCTCTCATCATATGTATCATTCTGGTGGAGATGGTAACAGAGTTTGTGATGACAATGTTGTGAAATTTCTGAAGAGAGGGAGAGCAGGAGCAAAGCGTATTTGTGAGTCGAGTTCATTACCGGAGATTCGGCGGAGAATGAATGGCGAAGGGCAAGGCAGTTGGCCTTGCAGCCACTCTATTAAATGGGGCTACAGTCTTCTTCCCGAATAGAACGTACCGTCATTATAGCCGTATTCGGCTCACCTTGATGTCCAGATGCAGCGAAAATGACCATACATTCTATTCGGCGGAAAAGGTACCATTAGCAGAAGAAAACGAAAAGACTAACTTGGCGACTGATTAGATCCAGGTTCAGAAACGAGCGTAACTGGCAAGGTCGGGAAGAGTAGTAGTAGAGCAACGGAGTGCGAAGAAAGGGGACATGCATGTTTGGATGATCTTGCTGCTGCGAGGTTCTTGAGCGAGTCACAACGTACATTGATTGAAGTGGTGCTTGCAAGCCCGCCAATAAGCACGGCATCACATGATTTGCATAACTCGATGGTCTCGGTAGGCAAAGGATTGCCGACAGCTAATTGCGCGGCGTTTCCAATCAACCCATCCTGGAATTTGAAAGTGACTCCTGATATGTCCTGGAGAGATCTCAGCACCTTCTTCGCCTCGTGCATTACTGCGGGACCCTGAAACAAGAGTAGATATTACACATATCAATGACATCAATCAATCAATCCATTATATCTTGGTAAAGCCTTAATTAAGGGAATAGGCCCAACACTGTTCAACCCAACAGGACTTTACCATTTTCTGATTCGTTTATCAACAGTATTCTATGTGTGAACGACGATTCAGCCTCTCACACTCACTCTCTCTCACTCTCACCCACACACACACACACACACACACACACACACACACACACACAGAAAAAAAGGATCCTATACTTGAACTTGCCCAGAAAAAAAGATCCTATACTTGAACTTGCCCAGAAAAAAAGATCCTATACTTGAACTTGCCCAGAAAAAAGGATCCTATACTTGAACTTGCCCATTAAAAGGATCCTATACTTGAACTTGCCCAGGAAAAAGGATCCAATACTTGA